TGAAATAAAAACGAAAAAACCCCAAAAATCTCTCTTTGAATTCCTTTAGAGAAAATTTTCTTGGCTGAAATTGAACCCCCTGGAGGCTGCTGCAGAGAGAGAGAAATGACAAAGCATGATAAAGACCTATGCAATTTCTTTATGAAATGTGAATGATGAAGAATGAGAATGTTTTTTTGTTTTTTTTTGTTTTTTTATGAGCCTGACCCATGAAACTAGACTGAAGGTATTAGAATAACAAATGTATGTTTAAACAGTGTGTGTCCAACAATAACAATTAAAATGCCCTTGAGCAAGACACAGACCCTCTGCCTGTGCTCTCATTCCAAGTTGCTCTGGATAAAACCATTAATACCCGACATACATACTTAGTGCCTGAGATGTAAATGTCAAAGAAGTAAAGGGAATTACTATATGTCCACCTATTTCTCTAATTGGATAAACATACATAAGTGCTGGTTTAGATGCCCCTGGGCATTGAACCATAACCAGTAATTAAGGATGTCCTCCTCAGCACCCAACCGGCCCTCCATGGATCACATTTAGCCTTGTTTATGCTAATCACAACCACTCTACAGCAGCAGACAAACCTCCATGGGATTCCCCCCAAATCCCTCAGGGCAAATGGAGACGGTTTTATCTACAGTGCTCATCAGAATACCAATAAGCCTATATCAAACCATAGCAGCACACACACACACCATGGCTCCACTCCCTTAATGCAAAAATGAATCCATATCTCACTTTTGAGGATAAAGGCTGACAGACTCAAATCAAAGTAATCATAAGCCTTAAATGGGGAGTTTTGTTGAAGGTAGTCCAAGGCTTTGATTCTAAGCTTTGACGTACCGTCAGAGCGAGCCACAGAAACAGATCAGACCCATCAGCTTCAGGCGGACAAAACCCTTTATCAGCACACGGACTGTCTGGAGAGCTGTCTGACTAACTGCTGGTAAGATTGGATTATCACGCCTGGACAGAGCGCTGTCGGCCCAGACTGACTTCAATGGACCCACTGCACTTGTGCAACAATTACCACTACCAATGGGACTACTACAGTACTATTAGTACTACTACCTCTACTACTACTACTTGGTACAACTATTGCTACTACAGCACTACAACTAGCTTATCAACTTATCAATATCAGATGCTAATAACTAAACTAATAATAAATAAATATAGAACATAGATAACAATAAAATTAAAAATAATAAAAACAACTAACAATACTGCTGCTACAACTGTAACCCTCTATAACTCCTCATACTACTACTGCAGCAGTTGTTAGTATTACTACAAAGAACATTTACTGCTAACTAACCGCTAACTACCCACACTTCTGCAACCTCTGCTGCCATTACTACTATTACTACCACCATTAGTATTAATATCACTTCTGCTACAAGAACAGCTACTTCAAGTACTAGTGCCACCATCCTTTCTTGACTACTGTTACTACTGCAGCCACAGCTACTGACTTTTAGTATTTATAATTTCTTCCCCCACTACTACAAGTACTACTTCTTATACTACTTCCAATATAACAATTAGTACCACTAATAATGCCATTATTATTGATAGTAATACCACTATGACCATTAAAATGTTTCTGTTGCAGATACTAACCCTACTAGCTAGCAGCTAGCTACAGCAGAAATTAGGTCCTGCATTTTACCTAATCTTGGGGTTGTTTGACTTCAAGTTGTTATCGACTAATGCAACTGATTTAGTTATAATACCAGCACAACAGAGACCGCTACCACTACTACATCTGTCTTATTGTATGGTGGGCAAAGTAAAAGAGCATTACTCGTCCCTCTCTCACTACCACCAACAAGGCAATTCATTGAGGAATGAGCTTAAGCATCAACTGCTTTAGTTGAGCTGCTCAGTGGCCTGCAGATCAAACCGTGGGCAACGTCCAGGTTTTAATGTGAGTACAAACTGTTTGTGAAACTTCTGTGGATTAAAAACTCCTACCATACTTTTACTTCTACTGCTTGTCTTGCTGCCATTACTACTATCCATCCACCTTCTCCTACTGCTCTTCAACATGGTAGTCATACTCAGAGCCTCTATTGAGACTGTGCCCTGGGAACATAAACTGACTCATTTGAAATGTTGCCATTTGCTGATGTTCAAAATTGTTTTTTCTTCTGTGAATCACTTTGGTGACATTTTTTCTTGTACTTTTTGCCACACAGAAACACAAAAATGCACCTGCCACGCGATGAATCATAAGTCGGAACATGCATCAATCGATGAGTAATGATGTGTATTGTAACACTTATTCATCATTGACCATTGAAAGAGCTTAAAGTAGTGCTGCAGAGAAGTTTAGACGAGCAGTCACAATTTTTGAATTTGGGGGAAGGGGCCCATAAAGACTTATGCATAAGTGTTGTTTCCACTATTACAACAACTAATCATTCTCTTGTGTTATTCTCACTGCATCTTTGTGTCCATATTTTGTCATCTTTCATGAATAAAACCCTTCCTTATTAGGAATAACTACTTTCTTCATTCACACTGCTTGGTTGACTATCTATACAAATGCAGAGACAGAGCCGCTGCCTCATGGAAAGATGCATGGGTGTATAAATAGCATCATCTTTACAGTAGCACAAACAGACAAATTCTTTTGGTTTGTTCTTGGGTGTGTTCCTCTGCCACTCTGGGTAGAGTGTCTGTCCCGTGGGGAGGGAAACAGACAGATAGGGCACATCCTGTGGACCACTGGGACCGTCCCGTAGGAGGACTGGATGGGCAGAGTGGTGGAGAAGGCGGAGCGGGGTGGGCTCTACAGATGTGAGCCCCGAGATAAGAGGGAAAGCTTTCGCAACAGGATAATGGCTTCCTGTTTGAATGCTCCACAAATTGTTTGTCAGGTTGCAGCAGCTTTGAACAGAGACGTGTTTATCTGAGAATCAGGCGGCGGGAGAATGCGAAAACAAGAATAACAAAGAGTCCTTGTGCTGTTTACTGAGGTAATGATTTAGCTACAGCGACTGTGACAGAGGCAACAGATCTGACAGGAAGGAGAAACATTAAACAGGAAGTTGTTTGGAATCTGGGGGAGAACACTGAATTACAGGCCTGCAGTAAAACAACTCCATTAAAGCTACAGACACGTTTTCTGGATAATTTCAACATTTTTACTCGTGTTGGCAGCTTTAAAAAGACCACAAATGGTTGCAACATCACAAAGTCAGATTGGAAAGATTACTCAAGCCCTGTGCACTTATTTACTTCACACCAACCGGTCTTGGAAGCAACTGCCGTACTTGTCTGGCTTTGTTATGAAAGCCAAGCTGCCACAAATTTTAATTTGCTAGAAACAAAGGATAAGTTTCCTCCATTGACTCAAGTGTGTTATGTCCACACAACATGTTCGCATAAGTATCAAGAGCACTGACAAACAAGGAAAACAATGCCTGCCATGATGTGGGATCAATCCTTCTTAGTTCTCTTCTATCTGCAGCATCTCTTCTCTTGCCTGCAGTCTGAGGATATTAAGGCGCATCTGTCTCCTGCAGATGGCTGGGCCAGAGAGAGAAATGAGAAATGTCTCCGTACTGCACACAGACATCTCAGGTGGGCCTCTTAGCTCTGCACACTGTAAAGAGGCAACCCCTGGTGGAGTCGTAATGTGTCCGAGGAAACTCAGAACTCAGCTGGATCTCCGGCTGAACACATGAAAGCAAAAAGTGAGCAACTTCGACTCAGACTTCCTCTCTTTAGATTAAAACCACCGCAGAGTAACCTTGCTCCACCTCTGCTAAAGCGTAGAGCACTTCATTCACAGCAGTGCAGTCCGAGTTTATCACTTCTGAGGGATTGAGGCAGATTTGTCAGGGGCAGCCTTTGGCTCCACTGCCCTGAGGTGGAGCTTGGGGGTGCATACTAGATATCATCAGCCTGTTTAGCTAACTGTCCAGGAGCCCGGTGGGTCCCGGCCTGACCCCCATGTTCCATATTCATGTGACATTCTGTGCTGGTAGCCTGCCAGAGCTTTGTACATCCACTCCCAGAGCCTCGATCCTGTCCTCTGAATCTAAAGCAGCCCAGACTCAAAGAATAACAAGATTTAGCACTGTATGTACAGTATCTGATATCTACAAACCGGGGTAGCCTGAAGGCATTTAACAGGGTCTCCAGCAATAAAGGAACGATGTTTCATTCATGTACCGATAGGTCACCAAGAGAAGTAAGATTTGTAGTTACAAAAAGCATCTCCAAGTATCCACTCTATTGAAATGTCAATTAGAAAGACACCTTATTCCTGCTACTATTTACCTTTATCTGATCAATAAACTAATTAAACCATTCTAAAAGACTTATGACTAATGATCAGATGTCAATGTTTTGTCTGTCTCACAACAGAATAATGACAATGTCTGCTCTTTTGTTCAATGTCACATCCATGGGATATCAGCGTTAATGTAATAACCAGTTTCAAATCAGTACCATCATATCTATGGCAGGAAAACTAAAAAAATCCTCTGCTATGATTAATATTTTGTTTAACATGGTTTTCCCACATAAAAAGTGAAAAACTATGGAAAACTGAAGCACATCCACTCTTACTTCCTCACTGAGAAATTCTGGATCAGACCTTGTGCCCCGCCCACCCACCACCGCTGCTTGCGCTAGGTTGGCAAGTGAAAGAGCAGTGATAGAGCAGTGTGTATCAAGATGGTTAGCAGAGGAAACATGTTTGAGCCTCAGTCAGACCCAGACTCAATACCCTTATGTATATGTTGGCACACAGCAGCTCATATTTCTTATTATTTTATTAATGTTTCTCAGTTATTATACCAATGAAATTTACATGAGGCCTGTCAGAATGCCATTTGCAAGACAGTAACACAGCTCTCCCAGATACTTCCTGTTCTCTCTTTGCACATGCAACGCCCACTGGCGCTCTGGGCCTCTGGTTGCACACCGAGGACACCCTGTTGATGCCCTCCCAACTCCCCTCCCTTTGGTCCACTCACTCAGCAGCTGGCAGCGCAGGACCTGCAGGCTCGTCTTCATGGTATCATGTGATCCGGCTCCTCCTCCACAGTGCTCATGGTTCTCTAGTAAAGAGGAAAAAGGAAGAGAGGTAAGATGAAACTCAGCGCTCAGGTATCGAAATCACACTCAAGTCATGGTCAGGTGTCGGGGTGATATGCCGTGATTATGTCTGGGCAGGTTTAAGTAGACATGGAGAAGGAACAAGGGATTGTAGAGAAGATTGTGCAGCTTAACCTTGACAGTTTAATCCCTGTAATGACTGCCAGACAACAGTTACACCTCTCACAGCGGATGATATGAATTATACATAACTAATATTTCAAAATAAAAGCCCAAGTAGGACAGCAGTAGTGGTCAGCATCAGATGCTCAGCTTCTGATCAGCATTGGCATCCTACAGGGTGTGCTGGTCAGTAAAACCAATTACGGAGCATTAAACATTGACCAGTAAGCCTTGTTCTGACATAGCCACTGCGTGTGTGTCAGCAGGACAAGTACCCAAGGGTGCTCTTTAGGAGAATGACTCACTGATGGCCCTCTGCTAAATGAAAGGCCACACACACACACACACACACACACACACACACACACACACACACACACACTCCTCCAGGGGGTGACAGGAGATGTGTGAGTGTGTGCATGTGCATGTTTGCTTCTCTTCGAGGAAATGCCCTTGGGCAACACACATGCCCACAGCACTCACACACACACACACACACACACACACACACACACATACATACACACACCTAAGCACCCTTCACCCCACCTGCATGAATAATCTGTTGTGAGTGAGATGTGTGAAATTGGATTTGCGCCTCCTAGGACGAGGGGTCTGGTTGCGGGCAACCTGTGTTTCTGTGGGAGATGTGCGAGATGAGAGGGACAGACAACAGAAGCACAGGGTACTGATCCCTTCACGAGGCTTTATTTCTTATAAACGCAGCAACAGAGAGGAGGCAGCACACTACATCTGAGTCATCCGGTTTATATTGCCACCATTGTGGCAACCTTTTAATGCCTGTAAATTATGTGGAGCTATAAATCTGAACCACGCCAGCACAGACTACAAAAAGGTGGAACTAACAGCTGAATGTGTGCAGGCATGATGGAGGAATCTATCTACCTACCTATCCATGCAGCGACTGACTAATGACTGAACTGCACAACACAACACCAAGGCAAGAAATTTAACTGACTGACGGTGTGTTAGCTTCATGCGAGGGTGAAATCAAAGGCATGAAATAATGGGCACAGCATGGTGTCAAATGACAAATTGGACATACACTTCTCTATTTCTCCCCCTGGCTCCTCCTGGAGAACTACAGCATAAAATTAATGAAAACAATAATGTAAAATAAGCAACTAAATTGGCCATCATCGCAGACTTTTAGATGACATGTGGACACAATTTTGTTCTTGTTCCAAGTATTAAAAAAAAAAAAAAATGAAAACAGAGACGCCCTAGCTGCTTCGCCACTCTTAACTCACGGCTTTGACTATAATGGCGCGGGCTCAGTCGTAATATAGAGCGAGTAATTGCAAAAGAGATGAGGCTGCAAGAATACAGGAGTAGCAGAAGCAGAAAATGAGTTTTTCCCTGCTTCACATCTGAGGAAATGACACTAGCTTGCAACTGTCCCAAACTCATACCCGCTTCCACTCATTGCAACGTCGTAATTCTGCAGTGATAGCAACACTGTAGTCGCTCTCTCTGCTTTATTTTATTTATTTTTTTTAGCATCATGTTCCTGGCCTAATGAGCTCAATGGCAGGGTGTGAAGAGAGCAGCTGAGCCTCTCCACGGTGATTACACCTCATCAGTGATGCCAGGCCAGCGAAGGCTCATAGACACGCTCTTTAATTTTCAGGGCACAACGGGTGAGGCTAGTGGGCAGAAGAAGGTGGTGCTGAGGGGAGGGTAGTGACGAGGAGGGTTTCATTTCTCCTCGTTATCACAGAGTAGAGCAAGGTTTTTTTTTTTTGTTGAGAAAGAAGGACAAGCTGTATGGACAAAATACAGGCTGGTCAGGGCTCCTGCTGGGGAGCTGAATCATAGTTCAGCTCTGCACACATGTGCAGGTAAAAGATAATATGGGATGACAGTTAGAGTCACAGCATTGCTTAAAACCCCCCCCGGACAGAAAGAGAGGTTCACTGGCAACTGCTGACTGGTTTCTTTCTGCAGGGCTAAACACTCGATTATTGCCATAGAGACCTGAGTTCAAGTCCACTACCTTGGACTTGTTCGCAATTGGGAAGCCAGTGAGGGAATATGTCTTTGTTGCTGCACTACTGACTCCTACTGGTTGAATGGAGGTGGAGTAAGGGCCGTTTTCAGACAAACATCAGAAGTGGTGTGTAAGACCACTCTGTCGATGCAGCAAATTCAAGCAATAAAATTCAGGGTCGTCTGTCAAAAGAAGTTAAACGTGGCTCAACTTCTGCCACAACCCTACGCCATGTCATCGAGCGATGAATTTTGGTGGCCAATCAGATACATACAGGAGCACGTCAACCTCCATAACGTTCCATACTTGAAAAATCCTTCTTCATACTTTCATATCATCCTCTCTGCAGCGTTTTAAAGAGTCCAATAAGGCTCCAAACTCATGGATCTATAACTCAAACCAGACTTCCAGTATTATATTTAATTGCTTCACCAGTATATAAAACAACAATATGCTCCAACCAATGCAGCAGCTTGTGTTTTTCTTTTTTAATGCAGAGCTGTTGTGGTCTGAACGCCTGGTAAGACCTGGAGGTGAGCAGCTCCTGCTCATACACTAATGAAATGTATCAAAGCAGTGTGAATGAATGTCAACACCCTCTCCAGGTCAACAGTAGTCAAGTCAAGGAACAATGTGTGCAGCATACAATACACCCCTGAATCAGATAAGGGTCCCTTCCACCCCTTAAAAAAAAAGTAGTAGTGTTATTGGATAGGAATTTGTCAGTCCAAATACGGCAACATCATTAAAAATGATCCTCCTCTACCGCTCAAGAAAACAAAAAGTGAAATACACTGGAGATCAACACTGGCTTCAGCAATATCAGACAGATTCCCAGGTAAAAACACACGAACAGTATCAGCTTAGCACTTTGCACGTAGCAGCCCAGCTTTCTGCTGGAGAGGGAAAAAAAAGTTGCATGGCAACTGACATGCACACAGACGGCAGCCATCACCATAGCAACCATGATAGTACATTATATTCAAATTCATTCACAAGGACACTTTTGGGCTCAAACAGAATTGGGAAGAAAAAGGAAAAAAAAGAAAAAAAGAAAAAGGAGATTTGCAATTACAGAAATTACAGAAATTCTCACAGTGAGTGATCCAGTAACAATCTGCTTGTCTCTCAGACTCAGTATGGGCCGTGGTTCCTGAAGGTCCCAGACTGCAGCGCTGAATAGTTTGTCTGGAGGGGGGCGCAGACTAGAGGCCAAAGCCAAGGTCGGTCGAGACAGCACAATGAATTAAGCCTGTCATTCCATCTCTTCGTGGCCACCAGCCGCAGGGATAACAATGCTTTTAATTTTGGACTTCCCTCTATTCTGCGGTTATGTATAGGGGCCGTGGCAGCGGGCTGGCTGCCTGCCCGCAGCGGCTGCAGCCTGAAAGCCCTTTCCATAACGAGAGAAGAGGAGGAGGGAAGGGAAGTGTGGGAGTCGACGACGACGACAGTGTGAACTACAGTGTTGTACTCTCACAGTCAACTGATAACTGGACCTCCAATCAAAACTGCTCTAACTGATGCTTTTCTCCCTCCAGTTTTGATGCCACTCTCTCACGCTTTGGCTTTATCTCCTCTTTATGAACTGCAGAGCGATTTCTGCCGGCTTGAGTCTGAGGAGGAAGGTACACAATAAAGGGAGGTGAAGTGTGAAAGCTGCAGCTTTGAAGTAACTGGACAGATACTCGCAGCAAAATACAGACCGAGAAAACTGGCAACTGAAGCTGCAGCATTACCTCTGCTTTAAAGCGGTCCTACTTTTTGGAAGTCATTCATTAAAAATGTTCTTTTACATCTCTCAGCATTTACAGCAGACTTACAGTGTGACCACAGTGGATCTATGGCTGTGGTGCGCCTTATGAAAAGCTGGTTACATCAGTGATTTCACTGCATCAAAGCCGAGACTTGATGGGATCTCAGAGAGTTTAGCTCATTTCAAGTTTCAAGTCCAACTTTCCTCGGCCCTGCCCTTCCACAACGACCCAGGGGACATGCCCGCACAGAAGGCGTCCATTTTTCCTTTGATGTTGTTTTACCCTTTGATGGAAATCAGCAAACAGCCCCTGATAGCACTTGGGCTGTACTCTCGCTGTGTCCATGTGTTTCCTGCGCTTGTGTTGATGAGGCCCCGGCCCTGCTGAGACTGTGGCTGTGACTCAGGAGTAAGGCTTTACCTCTGGGTGTTGCCGCCATCTTGGTGACCTTGCAAAGCAACCAGTTGCTTGGCACCAATCACGGAAGACTGTGGCTTTATTGTGCAAATGGGAAGCTGATTACTGATTATGACTGTGAACAATTCTGTTATGGAACCATTTTTTGTTTTTGTCAGTGGGAGGGTTAAAAGCCAGAGCCAGTGACTCAAGCACAAGAGAGACTCTGGGGCTTTGATAACTTAATTGTGCAGCCAGGATACACACAACAAGTGATTGATTACAAGTATTGATTCAATGCAACAACAGGCTTAAATTAAATGCAAGCAGCAAGAAGTACAAAGTAGGAAAAGGCTTCCTGGTAGACTTCTAACCCTTCCATCCAGGAAGACAGTCATATTGCTGAGTCACTGTCGCCGTCAGCTGTGGCCCTAGATGGTAAAGCTGGCAGGATGAATTGCTGATGCTGCGTCATGAAGGCTGGCGGAGGATGCGCGGGTTATCAATCAGCACCATCTCTCCCCTCCGGGCTCTGCCCCGCGGTACAGCAACACACCAGCCATTAAAAGAACATTACAGGTCCCAGCATGCAGTTCACTCTGACCATGACAGCGGCGCACATCATGCTCCCTTGTCCAAGCGCGTCACCATGATATCTCACATGGTTACACAACAG